TTATATTGGCTTCCTTGAAATCGCCTTTCCAAATGTTTCGCAGTACAATTGTTTGTTTTTTTCCATATGTATATATACATATTCATATACATACACATATTCATATACGTATACATATCCATACATATATATTATATTATATTACTGTGATGACAAACATGTAATTGCATACCTCTGTTCATATGGCACATTTTGCCTTTCTCTGATCGATTTGCCTGATGTTAGAATCAGGGTCTGATTTTGCGACAACAGCATTTTAATTAGTGAAAAGTACATGGTTCCATAGTTAGCCCAGGACATTTCTCTAAAAATTAGCAAATATTTGTTCGGTAGTTGATAAGATTTTGCTTTAAAATATTGCTCTTGCTAGCGTTCGATTCCAGAGTATCAATGTCCTGTAACTTTCAAAATCGAGTATTTCGTTGGTGGTGCTTAGGATTGTTGAATATGACTCTCGGCCCCTGTCTCACTGGCCTTCTGGCCCCAAAAGTTAGAGCAGCTGCGAACGGCAGGAAGAACCTCCAATGCCACTTCACCTAAATTTTACCTCTGTACCTAACTTCGAAGAAAACCTGTAAAAAACGGTCAATCATCCGATTGTGTTGTGTATATATAGACCATGTTTTATGTTTTGTTTTACCCTTAAATTCCTCGTCACATTCTGCACTCTAACTGCTGCGGCATTTAATATGCAGATTGACTGAATGAATGACAAGTTACCTCCTTTACTAACTGGATGAAATCAGAACAGATACTCATAATTGTCCAGCAATTGGCAGTCATCGGATTTTATTGCGTATTGCATCGCATTTTGCTTCTCATTGGATAAAGGGCTATTTAAGCAGGTCAGGGCATCACGATATTTATTCAAGTATTCAGGTGGTAGATGCATCTGGAATCATTTTACTGATTACAACAATGCCTTGTTCGCCACCAGTGATGCTTCAGGTGCTAGTATTTCTTTTACTTCCGCAAAATAGCCAAAAATGTGTTTGTACGTCAGATTGAATAAATGAGCACGAATTTCGTCCTGTACCAGCTACTCGGCGTATTTCATCGATATTATGTGTTTAGTAGTTTAGTCTGTTTTGTTTTCATAGTGAACAGTCAAAATCTAGGATTTTCCCAATTCTGCAGCAGCCGTTCAACGTCTGGGTGCAACGAAGTTTAAAATTTTTAAGTAGGCAGAAAAAAACGTACAAAAGGCAACCGTAATCTTCTAAATTATTTTTGTTTTCAGCAAGGTCCATTATCAGTCGGCTTTAAGGTTCTTTTAACATGCTTTCCTCAACGATTGTGTTTGATTATGTTTCTTCTGTCGATTATGTTTTGCATTAGACGAACCTACAAATTATACGACCCTGATTCTCTGCCATTACGATTGACCAGGAGTCTTCGCCGAAATATGTTGAATGTAGGGAACGGACATAGGATCCGGCTTTTTATCTTCGCTGTCCCAAGGATACATAGTTGCACAGATTCACAGCACGAAGCATAGAAATGTGTTCACCGCTCCCCATTTGATGAACCGTTTGCCTGCTTATTTCCGCGAAAAACCTCGTTATCTTTGAGCTGATCTGCACTTGTTTTAATATTTAATGAAGAGGTAAACTGACGTATACTCTACTTTGCCCCGTGCTACTCTTTTATACTCTGCTCGTACTCTGGTTTGTACTTTATTCTTCGACTTTCTCCCTATTCTGCTGCTGTACCTGTCTGAATTCATTCTTTGTGTATGTGCATTTGGAATGCAGCCTTTAAAGCATTTTGTTGAACGTAGTGGAATAACGAATCGAGGATTTTTCATTTTAGACAATTCTGCTGCAGAACCTGTATCAGAACCCGAAAATGGACATTCACCGATCCGAAGCAGCTTTGCGTATGTCTGACCTTGCTGTATGGTACTTGTTCCTAAAGCGTTATAACAGTTTTAGTATCCGATGTCGGCGTTACGGACGCCCAGGAGCAGCAGCATTTCGACGAGTTTTTCGAGGAAATCTTTACCGAGATTGAGGACAAGGTAAAATTTGTGAAAAAAAGTCAACTAATTGATCTTTTATGTGGTTTTTCAGTACGGAGAGATCGAAGAAATGAATGTTTGTGATAATATCGGCGAGCACATGATCGGAAACGTTTACATAAAGGTATATTCACAAGGGCACAGGCTTCTTCATTGATAAGCCTGATTCTACTAGACTGGGTTTCATTACATCATGGCACTGTATCTTTCTTTTCAGATGCCTAGGGCGTCATTAAAGCAGGCTGCGAAATCTCTTATCATATCAGAAGCGTCTTGCAATATCTAAAAGAACAGAAATTTAGGTTCAGTCCTAAATATTTAGCTTTTTTCACTCTCAGGCTTCTACCATTTATCTTCCATTTTTTTCGTGGGACATGATAACAGCGATATTTCTTCTGATCGTGATCATTGCCCATAAGTCGAAAGCTTTGTTTATGCAACTAAGGATTTTGCGTTTGGGCTGCTAACTATAGTGTCTGAAAAAGCTTTCCATTATCTGCAGCATGCTTTGATGCGAGTTTCGGAAACAGTTCACCCCGTTGTGCTCGTTTAGTTCAAACGCGAGGAAGACGCAGAAAAGGCGGTGAAGGACCTGAATACGCGCTGGTTCGGCGGCATGCCGATTTATGCAGAACTCTCCCCGGTGACGGATTTTCGCGAGGCATGCTGTCGCCAGTACGAAATGGGGTAGGAATGTGTTGTAACGTTTGTGGTCGTTGCCTGTGATGCGGTGAACATCGTCGTGGCGTGGTCGTCGTCAGCGTTCAGTTGCATGCGCGTTGCATCTTAACGACGTCGTATCGTGCGGTATGGTGCTCTTTGATGTTGGCCGTTGTCGTCCACTGCTGACCAGTCGCAATTGCCGCTAACTTTTCTCTTGCATTTACCGCTTCACTTCATCAGGAACGTGTCCGGCCTTCCGCATCGAGGTAGGAATCAATCTCTGACGCTCTGCTGTAAATCGATTTTTCTAAATGAACAACGTTGAAAATCGAGATGTGTTCTAAGCCTTTCCGATTTAAACGATGCGTGGGCGTTAATAGATTTTTTTCTTATTTGTTTGTAGCTGATTAATTTCTCTGATTTAAAATGGTTTTAATTTTAGGGAGTGCATGAGAGGCGGATTCTGCAACTTCATGCATCTGAAACCAATCAGTTACGAACTGAAGCGTGAGTTATTTAACCGTGACCATCCGTGGCGCCACCGACGACATAGAAAGCGAAAGAAAAAGAAAAAACCGAAGGATTACTGCTCACCTATTTTGGCTGGGTCTTTATTTAAGCGCTCGCGTTCTTTGGACTCTCATGCATCTAGTTCCAGCTCTTCCTTGGACAGTTTTCTGCCATCGACATATAGAAGACTTAATTGCCGATGAATCTTAATCATTACGGGTTTACCTGTTTATACGTATTCGTGTCAATGTTTTTAGGCTGTTGTAAAATGCTACCCACGCGGTGTTCACTGCTTTTCACAGCGTCCCGGTATTTATTTAGCGTTTTACAAATAAAATTTTAGTGACTGCGGAAAGGGAGGATTCTGTAACTTCATGCACTTGAAACCGATCAGTCGTGATCTTAGGCGGCGTCTTTATGGTCGACGACGTCATACGAAGTAAGCTGCTTATTGTTTGTTAGGATTGTCAGTATCTGCTTTGTTTGAAGTGAAAAAAATTTTAGACCGGATCGATTCGAGCGACGGAAGTCACGTAGTCGCAGCAGGGATCGCGATCGTCGTGGAAGGTATTAGGTTTGGCAGCGGCTTTTATACGTTCAGCTGGAGTACAGAGGAGTGCGTGCAGCATTGTGGTCTCAGCGTTTGATGTAACATTTTTTAATATGCTAATGTGTTATCACCTGTCGCTAGACAAAATCTTTTGATCGGGTAGCGATATAAGTTTTCTATTCGTAACTGGATTTGTATTGTTTTCGCAGCGACTCTCTTTGTTCGCATATTCAGACCTTATTGAAATTGATCAAAAGTTGTGAATTTCATTGTCAGCGATGGTGTGTTTGTACATAAAAAGATGTTATGTTTCAATTGTTCTACTTCTATTGTCATACCTTCTTTTGATTGTTTTAACGTGACTTGCGTTACTTTGCGTAACTGCCTCCAAACTGTATGTTTTTGTCAGAACAGTAAACCTGAGCAATGCATTGTACTCTGAACTGTCAGAAACGTACCTATTTAAGAACTTATCTGCACCGGATCATTGCATCCTAAGTCATCAACCTTGTTAGTCGCAAACAGCGATCTGAGAGTGGTTCATTGCGTATTAAATTGTGTTACAGCGCGTTTAAGGTTGAAATTATGTAAATGCAAAGGAGCAACGTGTTGCTGAGCAGAACGTCATACCATATCTTTATTCCGTTAACAGTGCTCTGTTTTGTTCTGTAGTATGCCATTTTGAAGGTATGTAAGTTCCGAATTTGATATGGCCGGCCAGCGGTGAAAATTTTTGAGTGGTGGAAAGATATGGTAGCGAATGTAATGTAACGATGACGAACAACGGAACGTGATCTACGATGG